CGGTGAGGACAGAGAGAAATGCTGTTCATTCAATGAGTACACTTTACTCTACATATTATCTATGGATTTACACATTCAGTGCGCTGCTATGTGTGCCAGTAGTTTCGCAGGAAATTGCTATAACACCATCAGGCCTCCTATTATGCCACCGGATGTAACCCCTGAGGTTGAAATGCTCAGAGTGCACTGGGTGGCCAGATGGTATCTCACAAGGAGAACATATGATCACTGAACTCCCATTAACCATCACACATTAACCATGTCATAGTGTATAGTGGTATGTTGGTCAGATATACTGTATAGTGCTATGTACTGTATTTGATGGAGGGATTTTTATCGCTGCTGGTGATGAGTAATAGCATTACATGTGTGAGTAATGAACTTCGTTTTGTGTGTTCACGCATGACACTTATTCTGCATTCTTATGAAGAACCTGAAGGCAACGGGACAGTATTTTGGTATTGGAAGCGTTCTGGTTGCAGTTTGTAGTCCGAGTAGTGTTCACCAATCACGTTGCAGCAGGCCTTGGTTGAATGCAGGTAAACAGTCTGTGTGGAGAGCAGAGGAGGTGGAGCGCATTGACTGAAATGCATTCTGGGAACCCACCGGCTATCTTCTGATGGTTTCAAATTAGCTTGGTTTTTGTCTTAAAATCTCCTTCTCTCTCTTTCTCTCTCCCACACACACACACACGCACACACACACACACACACACACACACACAGAGTAAAGTGCACAGGCAATGATTTGTGCCAAACTCCAGTATAGATCCTGCTGAGCTGTTGAATGATCAATAGCATGCAGGCTGCTGTTGCCATTGTTGCTCATCATCATCCACCAAACAAGCCTTCTATCCAACTGGGTATTTGTAGATTCAATTCAAACATTGTGGCAAAAAAACGACAACCTGCGAACTGAAACACAGTCTGTTTCGGAGTGTGAACACATCACCTCTAACTACAGGAAACGACCACGAAATGCAATCGATTATGGGTAGAAGGGGTCGGAAGCTTCACGTTCGGAAAGCGGAGCGGAATACAATGAGGTCTGGAGAGAAGAGCAACGGGAGGGGAAGGGAGCAGATTCAGATTAGTTTGGAATATCTTAACGGCAGGATCACAGCATGCTAAATAACCCAAAGTCATGGTGAGTATCTACATTATGTTCAATGTCAAAATAATCGGATGCATCAAAACAGGAATGCGTGCTCGAATCCCTTTCCTGCCGTACTGCACATATGGAGCCACAGGCAGAAGGTGTGATAACCGCTGAGGAGTCAGATGTATGGTGTACTGCAGTGGTTCTCAAACTATTTCTGTCACGCCCCACTTTGGAGGAAGAAAAATGTTCATGCCCCACCGCCCACAAAAAATAGCTTATTGTGGCTGCAATTCACCTGTTTTGCACTGAATATCTTTCTAAAATAATAACAATAAAGTGCAACCTGTGAAAAACTAAAAAAAACAAGTTCAAATATTTGGCAATAAAGAGTTTTACTGAGTTTTACACTGCATATCTTTTCAAAACAACAATAACGTGCAACCTGTGCAAAACTAAACAAAATGCTCCAGATATGTGTCACACATATCTGGAGCATTTTATTTTAAATATGAGCTTTAAAATGTAGCATTCTAAAAGTAAAATAGCTGTGATTTAACAGCACGTGGGACTGTTGGGACTGTTCTGGCTGTGGTCATCACAGTGAACAGTGTCTGTCAGTGTGATGAGAGGGCACGTGAGCTCTTGTTGCTGTAGTTCATCTCCTTGGAGCAGAGGCTGCATTTAGCATACCCTGCCTTATCAATGTATTTAAAATACTGTGACTGTTTAGACCTCCACCTTTATCCAGGCCCAGCTCCTTCACATCTCAGCCCTGCGTCAAGCTGCGCGACAGACAGCCTCCTCTGCCTGAAGCTCTTTGACCTCATCATCTCATCAGTATCTGGGCCTTTCATTCTACTTTGAGTTAAAACAAACAACCTGCAACCAGATCCGCCGGTGTTCTGGTTTAACGTTAACGAGTGACCACGTGAACTGAACCGGAACACTGGGGGGCTTCATGTTTCATCACGTTACGTTTTTCCCTCTTAAATCGTGATAATGACGAACGTTAACAGTCCACGAAGTTCCGCATGCAGTGGACGTTAACTTAACCCAGCAAGTCTGAACGGTAACGGGACATAACGTAACTTAAACTGTAACGGAGGGAAAGACCATGTAGACATCTTAACGTTGATTGGCCAAGACTCACACATCACATCAGAGATGTTTTATTGTGAAGATCACGACATCACCTTTTCTCCTCGTCTCACTCCAATCTGAGAAACGCTGGCTGGCCAGTTGAGCCGAATCTACACGATTCACGTGGATGATATACTGTATATAAAAAAATCTGTATTTCCCCCTGCGCCCCACCTGCAATACCGCCCCACAGTTTGAGAACCACTGGTGTACTGTATGGGCGGCAATCCATGCTGTTGAAAAGCATGTGGCACAGTGAAGGACTCCTCATAGAAGATCGCGCTCACTGGCAGAACCGCTTGGACAAACAGCCGCACCATCACCGCCACTTGTATGTTTGTGTGTGTGTGTGTGTGTGTGTGCGTGTGTGTGTGTGTGTGTGGAGGAGTGTGAGCGAGAGGACACAGCGACAAAACATGTTTTGTGTGTGATTTTTGTGGCATATTGTGGGACAGATGGCAGGAGGATGCTCTATTTCCTTTCCCTCACAAAGGGAACTATTTTTCTCTCTGTATGTGTCCAAACAGCATTTAACACAAACACTTTAAACGAAATGAAACTTGCGCTGGAGGGTTGGGAACAATACACTTAACTTGCAGCTATACAGCAAAGTGAATTGTGACGAGCTCGACCGCTGCGACTTCAGAGCAGAGCCAAAACGTTGACTGTGCTTTTCTCAAAACAGCATCAAGACATCTGAATAGAAGAGAAACCTTTAAAAAAAAAAAAATCTATCAAAGTCAGCCTGTTGTACCCAATCTGGGATTAATTCGACAAATAAAAAGCTGTTTCCTCTGGCGACAGCAGGTGGAGGAAGGCGTTAAAGGCCACAGGCATTTATGGGCAGTGTGATCTTAATTCTATGAAATAAGAGCAGCTGCAATAAGGAATTTTAAGCAATGACAGAGCATTCGTCTATTTCTGCACTAGGCTCTATCAAATTAAAAAACGCCTCATGGGCTAATCTGAGTTAATCTGATCACACAAAGATCTCATCAAAAGAGAACTCGCAGGTTTGTGTTCGGGACATTTAAAAGTGTCTGATGTCGGCCTCCTGAATTGAACGTCATGAGATTCATCTCCTGCACTGAACAAACAAATGACGGAATTAAAACAATAAGATGTTGCTAAAAATCGATGTTGAACGTTTTAGAATAATCTATTTCTCAAAGGTCAAAATCGACCTGAAGGAGGGTGAATGCCAACTACCCAATTTAGAGTCTTGAAGAAGTCTAATTAAAGAGTTTAAAACATCCAATAAAACAATGTGCCAGCTGATACTCTGAACATAAACACATAACATAAACAAAGATGTTAGATGAGGATCCCTCAAATTGGTTGGTTAAAGAATGATGACCAAGATAAAGAGTCTACTGAGTGGGACATTTCAAAGCTGGAAGAATCTATATGCGTCGTTGTCCCTCGTGGAAAAACTATGTACTGTTTGGAAACTACCTCAAACAAGTCTTTGGTATTTCTATGATGACATATCTACGCCAGTATTGGTCGATTTATCAGCCCCGACAGTTTATATACACTGCTTCTATGTGTGCCACTTTTTAGACAGACATTGGATGTGTCATGTCAATTTGATGATGGCTTGCGTTTATTAATCAAGAGCATGAAGTGGAATCCTAATGTATATAGAAATGATTTCATCTTTCAAAGTGTTTTTAGTGACTACACCAAATCTCCCACAGACAACAGATTGCTCTCCAAGGAGCACTAAAACTAAAAAGGTCCAATTTTTTACCTCCAATGGACAGAACTTGCGACTGACGATTCATCTGACAGGAGAACATGTTTATTTGTGACTTCTTTTTTTATTCTTCAGAAATTAGTACACAGACAGAATGAGTAAAAAAATGTTGTGTGTGTGTTTGGATCCTACTTCTGCACCGGTTACTGAAATCAGCACCAAGCCTTCTCTCGGATTTCTTTACCAAAAGAGGATCTTGTGCTTCGACAGCTGCTCTGACTCATATCTTGAGAGATTATGCCTTTAACAAACCTTTACAGTTTATAGCTCCCACATCATGGTGAGGAGCAGCCAACATGACTTTTAAAAAACAACCGATCATGTGTTTCCTGAAAACTCTAACAGGTGGTGTAGTGATGCCCCTCGAGGACTTCTGATACACAAGGAGAGCTGTGGTAAATCTAAGGCAAAATATATATTTTCAATTTGAATTTATAGCAATAAAACAGCAATACTTTAAGATCAATAAATGGCAAAAAAATGAATGACTAAGTAATGTCTCTCTAAAAAATACAGGGGTGATATAAAAATCACCATACGCTGTGGGGACAGTTTCTTTAAATGCAGCAAGACATCAGGGAACACAGAGCGTCCTCTCACATTTTCATTCATACTTCAACTTGCGTGTGTTTGTGGGGAAAACACGGCTCAACATGCTCAAAGCATGACCAGAAAAAAAATCGCTGCATGTAGGCTACTGAGGATGACTCACTTGAAACTAAATGTGAGTGGACAGGAATATTTCGGTGTAACCTACATTGCAGGCGCAACGTTTCCGAAATGCACGCTCTAACAATATCCCATATAGAGAATTCATCCGCCTTTTGCCGCCGATTGCACATTTCTGAAACGGGCTGAAAGTGTGCGGGAAATATCCCAGGGGGAATAAAACAGACACACCGCTCAATCTGCAGACAGCGTTGAAAAGCGCCACATGACAGCCACCGCACTCCATCAAAACAAAATGCATACAACTAAATTGTCAACTGCAGTTTCTTACCGATTTGGCTGAAGAGGAGCAGCTGGAAGATGAAGACATCGGTCCTGGGAACTGCCGTCTCCATGGTCTCCGCGAGAGAATCTAAACGTCAAGAGGCAGAATGTGGCTTTCTAAAAAAAAAAAAGAAAAAAAAGGGGACGCACGGACGTGAAGATGCGCTACCAGGTCATCCTTTGCTCCTCTGCCGCCTCTGCGCGGGGCGCCGGGGATAAAGTGCTCCGGTCGGTTCGGCTCGGCTCGGCGCGGTGCGGTTCGGCTCGGCTGCGTGCGGTGTGAGGAGTGCTGGCTCGCAGGCGCGGGGGTTCGTTGATAACGGACGCGCGCTCGCGTACATCGCACCGAGAGACGGGGCTGCGAGTGCGCGCCGCCCACTGCCCTGAATGGAAATCACTGTATCGCTCCTGTAATATCCTTCTGCTCTTACCACGGGGACGCGGTGTGTGTCTGCGGCCAGCTGCTGCCATAAGAAGGATTTTATCTCCTCGGACAGCATGTGGGAATATATATTCATAGTGTCTTTATAGTGGGAAACAATGAGCTTACAGTGAACTTGTCAAGTATATATATATATATATATGTGTGTGTGTGTATAGGGAACAAAATGCATATATGATGACGACAAAATTGTTTCCACGCTTGGTCATGTCTTTTCCTTATTATCTCCTACACAGTGTTACTGTGATGACAATATAATATCTAAAACAGTATAGTGTTTGTGTGGCAGATTGGCTTGTATATATTCCTGTGAGACCATGTCGTGCTGCACAGTGACCTCCTCTATGATTACGCAATGAATGCACAGCATATTTGATCGGATTATTATAACAAGACCAGTGGTTGGCATGAAGGAAAGGATAACAAATATTGGATGGAGTCAGGTGCATAATGACGCCTACAGGAAATAAACAAAAGGCATAACCGAGTTACAAGTCTCTCTCTTGGAACATCATGGTGACTCTCACGGAGTGTTTCATTTGACCACCTCACAAAGCTTTGAGGGAGAAAACCTCTCAAGTTTTTAAAAGACTTTCTATGAAGCGGTGAAACGAAACAAGAATGTGGATCCAGCCAAGCCATGGCTGTCCCACGGCGGAATCAGCGTGTGTGTATGGTGCGGTGGTGAGATTTGTTGGCAGAGGTTGGACTACGAGATTCCCATGAAGTACACAATGGCATAGTGCGGAGTGTGTGTGTGTGTGTGTGTGTGTGTGTGTGTGTGTGTGTGTGTGTGTG